GCCAGTCAAGCAGAAGACCCAATACTGTTATGGGCTACTGGACTCTTTTAGAATATTTTGCTGAGTTAACACACCTATAATATTCAAATGATAGAACTAAAAAAAGGGGGGATATAGATGAATGTCCATTTTGTATCTGTGTATTCAAAATGGTTAGGATGGATATATAGTTACATTCTCTTAATGAATAGAGGGATTTATTCTTATAGTGTTTGTAAATAGGATATCATGTCTACATCTTGTACAGCAAATAACCACTAAGAAGAGAGTATGCAATGTGTTAATTATTGAAACTATCATACCAATTTGATTTGAAACTGTCTCATTGCTATATGTCTCTCAATAAAATTATTCACAGGCTTCTCACAGAAGGATTTCTCTAAATGCACTTTTCCCTTCCTCTTCACACCAGGATCATAACTCAATGGTTTTCTTCAAACTGAAACTGTGTTCCTTTACAAAGTAACAATTTTCCTTAGAAACTGTCCTATTTGTCATGTATTGGGAGAGGGGTGTACTGTAATGCTGCACTGAAAGTCTATTTCTCTTTATATTTTAGCCTCGTTATGTTTTTGTCTTAAGAAAAGAAAATACAGCACTTTACATTACTTAATGAGATCTTTAAATATAGAGTTCTAATATTCATAAATTGTCATTTTCTGTGAGAAGTTCCAATATTTACATTTTAATTTGTATTACAATCTCAATATTTTCTGAATAATTGCTTAAGTCCATAAAACACTATAAATGTATTTAGTAGGTATTTCCCACTTTCTAGGGCTTAATTGGGAATGATTCATGTTTTGATAAGGACATAGAAAAGCAACCTATATCCATTGAAGAAATTGGCTACGTTTGCCCAGAAATACAGGGGTTGCTTGGGAATTGCTACTTTTATTCTTTTTTTGCAAGAGATGCTCTTTTTCAGAGCTTTTTTTCTCATCACAGATATGACCTAAGGAAGATTTGGCTCAAATGTTTATGCTTTTCCAGAATCTAGGTGTTCAAGCTTCATCCCTGAGTGGGAAGCACTGGGGGAGATGGAGATTTTATGAAGAAATTGTGTCATGATAGTGGAAGCCCAAAGTAGGGCTAAGTGTCCTAATGAGAAGGACCCTCGAGAGCATCACTTTCTGTTTTGAATTAATACAAAGAAATTATCCATAAAACTTACACTCTTAGCAGACACTGGACCTGCTATCACTTGGATCTGGGACCTTCTAGTCTTTAGAACTGAAAGATATTATAAATCATTATTGCTCATCCCAGGCTTTTGAGATACTTTGTAATAGCAGAAAGAACTGGAAAAAGGTAGAAAATGGTGCTAAGCAGTAGGGTGCTGGTTCCATAACCATTTTAAACTGTGAGAACTCATTTGGAACTGCCTAAGGAGTAGAGGCTAGAGAGTGCTGAATTTCGATAAATCACAAGCATTCAGGGTGATTGAGGGTAAGGCCTAGAACAAAGAAAAGGATTCTTCCATCTTAGAAAATACTAAAATTCTTATGAATAGAATATTCACAATACAGAAGATGAAAGTCATTCCATGGAATGAAAGGCATATTATCAGAATCTAGAGGAAAACCAATCCTTTTTATCAAGGGGCAAAGGTCCTGGTAATTGTGTACATGTTTTACTGTTTGGTGGAAGATAGAAGTTTTGAGGCAGACATTTTATGTTTGCGTCCCACTGCTTATAAGTTGAAATTTGAAGAAGTACCTTTGTTGTTTGTGAGTAATTACTGCAAGATAAAGTAGAAATATTAATTGAAGATAGTCTTGCTAAGCAAGAAGAATTTGAACTTTAAACCTGAAAATACTTTAGCCTGTCCATAATTCCAAAAATTCAAAAAACATATTGCAAAAAGAACACGAAGGAGTGACAGACTGATTATTTGATAAGAAAATGTGTAAGGATGTAAACCACAGATTTTATCCACTCTCTCAATAAAAGTGAGGAATAAAGATGATACTACAGTGGCAGAGACAGTGCCAGTTGGGACTAAAGAAAATAGAAAATAATAAAAACGAAAGAGGACTTTCACACTTCTTAAATCCTGTAAGACCAGATCATATCACTTGAGAACATGTGTTACTTTTCAAGTCAAACAAAGAACAGGAAAAGTGACACACCATCCTTCTGGGCAGAGATGCAGCAACTTTCATAATAACTTCAAAATGTGGGCCCAGCCCCTGGTGGTGACATATGGGAACAGCTGCCCATTGGAGGCCTGAAAGTGTGGGCTCCACACACCCATCTGTGGGCGAGGCCAGGACAGTGCACCCCGGCCTGGGCACAGCCCTGCCCATGGGTATGGAGCTGCTACTGGAGGCAGCACATCTGCCTCAGGGGACAGGAAAGACAAGGTTCAGATCCAGGGAACAGTCATGCTTTAGTATTAGGACTTCTTAGAATTTGCCCCCTAGTTTTTCTGACTTCTGTGAAACTCAAAACCTCCTTCCTTTCACTTTCTCTCTCTTGGTAAAAGAATGCCTGCCTGCCATTATAATTTGGAAATATAACTTGTAGGGCTTCACAGGCTCACAGATGGGAAGAAATTTTGTCACAGGATGCATCTTTCCTCCAGTCTCAACTTTGCTTAGTTATATGATATTTAGAGAAAATTTTGGACTTTAGAGAGGAGTGTTGATTGTACAATAAATTTAAGACCAAGTTTATGGGCTGCACAGAAGAAGAGCATGAATGTGAATGCTCCAGCATGGGATGCTCAGGGCAGAATATCTATGTACCTCTCACCACAGCAGGTCTTGAAATCCTGACTTCCGAGAGCACAGTATCAAGAGATGACCAAGGAGATTATGGAGCTGCAGAGGAATGTGACCAGTGATGTAGAGTGTGCCTAAGGAGAGTCGCATAGAGAGAAAACATTCTCTCAGGCTTTCACAGAGAGCACATTGGCCAAGCAATGGCCGTGACTCATCCAAATGGCCGTGACTGACAAAGGATGTGCAACCTGCGGCACAGGGTTACAGGATAAATCCTGAGGGTACTTGACTGACCTTATCAAATACAAAAGTTACATTTCTTGTTATATAGGTCTTGCTCTATCTTGGTCATAACCATCTAGCAGAAAAGTATAAAAACGAGGTATTTAAAATAAAGTCATATTAATATGCTGAGCTGTGAAAGGCTCAAGTCAACAACTTCTGCGGATAATCCACTACTATTGTGGACTGCTAGACTCTGTTGGATTGTTTTGCTGAATTCATGCACCTATAGTATTTGGATGACAATGGAAAACTTATCTCTGACAGGACTAAACAAAAAAGGGGGATACAAGGGAAGGACCATTATGTATTTGCATATACAGAATAGTTAGGATAGATATACAGCTACTTTTGCTTAATTCAATGAGAAGAAAATTTGTATTAGTAGTGTTTGGGCATGATATACTGTCTGCTTCTTGTACTATGGATAACCACTAAGTAGATAACAATGTACAATGTATTAATTATTGAAACTGTCCTGTTAATCGGCTTTGAAACAGTCTCAATGATATTTGTTTCTCAAAAAAAAATTAAAAAGAGATGACCTTGGAGAGTGGTAATCAAGGCAAGGGAGTGCAGACCTCAGTATACGGTTAGTAGCCTTATAAGAAGAAACCTACAGAAGGGCCAAGGAGCTAGCTCAGGGCCAGAAGTGCCTGCCTCACAAGCACAAGGTCCTGAGTTTGATTCCCAGTACCACAAAAAAAAAAAAGAAAAGAAAAGAAAAGAAAAAGAAACTTATAGAACTCATTTTCTTTTCCTACCTTACATGGATAACAGGATACAAAATATGATAAATAAGAAAAAGACGTTCATTGAACACTGAATCTTCTGGAGCCAAGATCTTGGGCTTTCTGTTCTCCACATGTGTGAGAAATAAAGGTTGCTTAAATGTGACAGTCTATGTTGCTCTAGACAGCAGCCTGAGCTTTGGTCCCCATGAAGTTCAGGAGGAGGGATTCAGAGGAATGTAATCAGACACACAAGGCTTCAAACTGTTTTTGAGATTATTGTGAAAAGTCCCCCACTCCATTCATGATTCACTTTTTATTATCTTCCACACATGGTATAAAGTGTTAGCAAATATGTCTATTTTCTACGTGCTTTTCTTAATTTAGCCTTTCCTAAGATGTACACTTTTAGAAGTGGAAGGTTCCGAACAAATTTTATGTCTGTCGCTTGGTTTCCCAACAACTGAAGGCATGTGTGAATATATGGTAAACTACACTGGAATAAAATTCAAACATTCCAGGATCAATATATAAATGAGGGGAAGAAAAGGAATTCCTGTTATCCTTGACAGTAATCATGGATTTTATAGAACTGTAAGAGAGCGGGAGGGGTAGGGGGTAGGAAGAAGAAAGGGGCAGGGGCGAGAAGGGGGAGGGGGACAAACAGAAGGAACTCTGGGCCGAGATTGTTTGCCTTTATACAACCTCAGATAAGAAGATGAATATATTACTCTGAAAAAAAATGATTTTCAGGGGAAAAAGAAGGGAATTGACATATGTGATGCATATGTACCAATTCCCTACAGAGAGTGTGACCAATATGTATTGCAAACGTCTAAGAATAAAATTATTAAAAAAGACTTTCATACTGCAAATAGCAAAATCATATTCACCTCATAAAAGCATTGGGTCAGAGGGGAGACACTTAAACGTAACTGTGTAATGACAGTGTGGCACCCTGACACTATCTTAGGGCACACCGCTGACCTTGAGCCTCGGTCTTCAAGGCTGTATTATCAAATCCCTTTTATAGATGAACACTTGAAATCTGTCCCCTTGCAGGGCGTGTCCAGCATCTCTCCAGTGGAGACAGAGCTGCACAGAGTGACGGCTGACATTTTTGCTCATCTTCTACGGGATCTCCTCCACCATTACATCAAACGCGCTTTAACATCAACGCAGCCGAAGCGTGGCGTGCAATGACCAGACAAGTGCTTACCGCTTCTGCGCTGCGTTTCCCTCACCGACGGGGCGTTCTCACCTGACGGCGCTGCTGCCCGCGTCCAGGTCCTGCGCCGTGACCGCGCCGATGATGGTCCCCACCGGGGTGTCCTCGTAGACCTCCATGGTGTAGAGCGGCTTGCTGAACACGGGCGGCTCGTCCACGTCCAGCACGCTGATCTTCACCGTGGCCGTGTCCTTGAAGGGGCCCGCCGAGTGGAAGCGGTGGTCCAGGTGCAGGTTGGAGGCCTCTACCTTGAAGGTGTACGCCTTCTTTGTTTCAAAATCCAAAGGCTGTGGCAGGATAGACAGAAGTGAGAACGCGCACGTGTGCAGACTGCGGTGCCGTGCGGCGGAAAGGACCCCGCACTCAGCAGTGTGCAATTTACTGTCAACGGTAATGGCTTTACATTTCTTTATTTCTTTTTGGTTTGCTTTCCCCGGTGACGCTGGAGATTGAACCAGTGTGTTTGCACTGAGCTGCACTCCTACACTGATCGGCTGCACGGCCCAGGATGAGCGGGGATTTTCTATTCCCTACCTCAGTCTCCCCATTCCTTTCCTTTGGAATTAGCAAGTAAAGATCGCTTGTGTTCTAATAAAGAGCCATGCACATGTAGAGGTTTCTGGATAGCTTGTAAGGCACTCTGCTGCATATATTAAAATGACATAATATACATGTAGAAGTGTATGCTGGATAGGGCTAATTGATCTCATAGAAGCGTAGACTAGCAGCAAGGGAAACCTGCTAAGACAACCGCTATGCTGCTTTTAGCCAATGCTGCCCTCTAGTGACACTAAGATACGATGACCAAAACGCAGAACAAAAGAGAATTTGAGTAATTGGAAAAGCACTTTTGATTCCAGTTGCAAATTTGGTGTAACAAAACTATGGGATCTTGTTGTTGTTGTTTTACAGTGACGTTTTCTTATTGTGACACTAACACCATTTGCTGTCGCGTGTCTTTAAATGTCTCTCTATTTTACTATAGAATTTTGTATCAATATTTATAAATATATAAATGATTAATTATGAAAAGACTTAGCTTTCTGTATTCCTGGGACTGTACATAGCTTCCTGCATTCCTGTACATAAAATTAGTGGCATTGTAGCATATTGTTACCATGTATCAATACGATTTACTGGATTTAAACCTAAATAATCAATAATAAATATTATATTATTTATTAATAATAATAAATAATAATAAATATTAAAAGAATATAATTAATACACGAAATCACATTTCCTGTAATCACTGATGCTCAGATTTTTCTTTCTGTTACTGTAAATATTGGCTATTTCTTTCAATAATTGAAAATAATATGTTCCAAAATATGTTACGGCTGTGATTTTTGAAGTGATCAATGGAATGCCGATGGCGATGGTTTGTAATCCGCAAAGAAAACTAAGCAACATGCGTGTGACATGACGTGATGATTTCCTGTCACTTTTTAAAGTTCCTGTTTTCTCAAATATTTCCCTCTAGCGTGCCTCTAGGATTTGCTAATTGTTGTGCCAACATCTGTTCTTTTACATAGCACACATAAACTAAAGGAGACTTTGGTTTCTATTTTAAAGATGTGAATGCTGATTTATGTATTTCTTCTGAGGATATAGAAAGAAAAGGAAAAAAATCACAGTGAAATCCATAACTCTGGGGGCTTGCACAATAAAGTGCTGCTTGGGCGAATGCACTCAGGGGCAGGTGACCCTGGTTCTATCCCCAGCCCCACAATTGGCACCAAACCCGCCCTGAAGGCAGCCAAACCTAGCCAAAACACAAACAAACAATAAAAAGAAAACCTCCTCCAATTTGTGGGCCGGCCAATAGCTCAGCAGATTAAAGCGCCGGTTTAGGCAGACCCAGCGGCCTGGGTTCAATCCTCGGAGTGCCGTGCTAGTCCCGCCCCCGGGGATCACTGAGAGCCATTGAGAATGGGCTTGGTGGCGCGCGCCTATACTCCCAGCTCTTGGGAGGCGGAACACGCACGGATCACTACTGTCTGATCAACTTAGTGAAACCCTGCACACTCTGTCCTAAAATACAAAAAGAAAGAAAGAAATCCATAACTCTCACAGTTCAATAGCATATCTGTATCCAAAATGGTAGCATATATCTATAAGTGACATCAAGTCTGATTCATAGTATTGTGTTAATTAGGTGGACTTATGTTTATTTTGACTTTATTTATCTTTCATTATACCTAATTGATTAATTTTGTTCATGGTTTTGTCTGCTTTGCAGTAATCATTGTGTTGATTTGTTTCCATTTACTTATCACGTACTGTTAATATATAGCATTGGCATCTTTCATTTTCTCATTGAGCTTATGATTTTTCTTCAAATCTATAGAAATAAAACTTGAGAAGCCTCATATGCTGTGGTGATAACATGGACATTGGTGACGTAAATTGAAATGCAGTATCTTACGGAGAGGGCGGAGTCCCATGTCCCTCTTTGACTGTCTAAAGCTTGACTGCTGTAGTTTGTTAAAAGAATCAGATTCAAGAAATTACGCTCTTTTAAATATATTCATGAAAGAATTACAATCATCACAGTATAGTGGCACGTGCATAGCTATGCGTGTAATAGCAGAGTCACAATAGGTAAGCTCGTGAAAGAGCCTAGGGCCTGCCTGTACACAGACCAGCGGATTCTTAAATATGTGGCCTATGCACATAAGGGAATATTATTTAGCTTAAAAGAAGGGTAATTCACAGCACCAGAATCTGAGAACAAACCATTACATAATTCACACACCAGTAGTTGAATAGCACATGAGTTTTCTCATAGTAGAAATTTAAAATTTAAAAAAGAATAAAATGGAGAAGAGATGGTAGATAGAAGTGGAGAGAATCTTGAGGACAGAAGGGGACTGGAGAGGAATAGTTAGGTGAAGGGGGCGGGGCTGAGCGTGACCAAGATGTTCTATGCATGTGTCATCTGCAAAATGAACGTCACCCTTCTGTATTGCAGACACACACTGACACAGAGAGGGAAGAAAGCACAACCAACTGCCAGAAGGGGCCTAGTCCTCAAGTTCTTGCTTTCCTTTTACTTGTATTATACCTTCTATGTGCATTTCCTCCTTGAGTTCTTATATCAGGGAGACTATATGATATTTACACGTGTGTCTGGCTTTTCCACTTATGAAGGAGAAGAGCTAGGAAACACGAAGGAGGCAAGGCCGTACAGCTACATGTACAAGATGGGCAAGGCAGTGATCCTGAGAATCTTCAGAAGATTTTTGAATCTAGCAGTTAATTGGCAGGATTCTCACCCTGACTAACTCTATATGCTGACACCTGTGAACTAAGCAACTACACTGAAGATGGCAATGTGTAATAGTAGGTTCATGCTTGGAGTGCCTGTCATTCTGGTCTTCTGGATACGGGCTGCTTGTCATGACATGCCAGTAGCTGCAGTGCTGTCTCTCGGGTAGACGATTCTTCAAAAAGAAGGGGGTGGTGAATGAAGGCAGGAGACAGGAAGAGGAGTGTTGCAGGACTGTCCTGTTACAATGCTGTATATGGTTAGATTTCTGGACTTATGTGTAAACATATACAATTGTTTATTCCTATTTTTTAAATATATTTGAATTTTTTATTTTTTTTTTCATCATACTCTGTAGGGACTTAAAGTTTAACATTTCAATACTTGATGAAAAATACCTGTTCCATGTTATGCCTAAGATGTTTGATATTCAGACAGTGAGGTTAAGCTCAACAGCCTAGGTTGTATGGTAATAATAATAAGCTTTTCTTCTGGAGGGTTAACAACCTAAGTTTGCACACCAAAAATTAGAGAAAAAGGAGGGCCGCAAGGACAGCTGACATTTTGGCCCTAGCCTTCCAAGGTCAATTAAGACTCAGAATCTATGAGGACTTGTACTGTAATATCACTCAGTTGTGTCCCAAGTCTTCTGATCAAGGAGATTATGGGGCCAAAGAGGAAAGTGATGAATGATGTAGAGTGTGCCTAAAGAGAGTTCCATGGAGAGAAAACATTCTCTCAGACTTTCACAGAGAGCAAATTGGTCAAGCAATGGCCATGACTTATCCACATGGCTGATACTGACAAAGGTTCTACAATCTGAGGTATAAGGTGTCAGGATAAATCCGGAGGAGATGTGACTGACCTTATCAGACACAAAAGCTACAGTTCTTGTTACAAAGGTCTTACTTTATCTTGGTCTTAACCATCCAGCAGAAAAGTATAAAAACGAAGTGTAAGTAAAGCCATGTTGTTATGTTGAGCTGTAGGGGACTCAGGTCAACAATTTCTGACATTGTCAGTCATGCAGAAGACCCAATACTATTATGGACTACTGGCCTATTTTAGAACATTTGGCTGAGTTCACACACCTATAATATTTATGGAACTAAACAAAAAAGGGGATACAGATGAATGACCATTTTGTATCTGAGTATTCAAAATGGTTAGGATAGGGGCCGGGGAGATGGCTCAGTGGAATAAGCGCTTCCCTGGCAAGCGCAAGGGCCTGAGTTCAATCTCCTGTTCCAGAAAAAAAAAAAAGGTTAGGATAGATATACAGCTACACTTTCTTAATTTAAGGAATAAAAGGATTTTTTCTAATAGTGTTTGTAAATAAGATATTATGTCCGCTTCTTGTACAACAAATAACCACTAAGAAGGCAGTATGCAATGTGTTAATTATTGAAACTGTCCTACTAATTTGATTTGAAACTGTCTCATTACTATTTGTCTCTCAGTAACATTATAAATAAATAAGTAAATAAATAAATAGCAGAAACTGAAACAATAAGAGTGTTCAGCTTGGAATATAGAAGGCTGGGAGGCAGACTGGGCATGCAGGCAGGTGGCTGTAATGTCAGAGCTCGGGAGGCTGAGAACAGGAGGATTGTCATGAGTCTGAGGTGCGGGGTAAAACCCTTAACAACCAAATACACACACACACACACACACACACACACACACACACACAAATAAAATAAAGAACACATAAAAATGTATTAAGTGAAATAAGAGAAGCAAGCCTCAAAACTTCATGATTTCTCTTACATAAGAAATGAAAAAAAAAATAAATGACCCAAACAGCAAAATAAAAAATAACAGGAAATGAGGGAAGGGGAGCAAGATACGGAGAGAGGGAAAGGAGAGGAGAGGAGGGATGAACATGGCAAATCCCCACCAGGAACGCAGTTAGGCAGTGTTGCAAATATGTACTGAAAATATTAAAATTTAAAAGAGCTGTACTTTCTGTGTTTTGTAAGTTCTAGATGGTTCAGAATTTATAAGAACATAATT